AGCAATAAGTACGTTACCGTTTGAATCCAATTTCATGTTTGGTAACGGTGTCTGAAAACTGTTATTGGGAATATCGATGACTGAGAAAAGAAGATTGAAATGTAGATTATCAAATATGATACAATAACAACATATATTATAAAAAAAATATGGAAAAATAAATGAGTTACCGTTGGAAATGTTAGATAACGGACTTCTAACATTTAAATGTGAAGGAGGAGTACGTAACATTGTTTGTTTTGACATATTTGCGCTTGATGTAGATGTGGATACACTTTTATTTCGATCGACAACTCCTTTTAATTTGATTGGAAATAATATCTTATTAGAAATGGTTAAATATTAAATAATCTTGTAAGTTTTTAAATAGTATATGAATACTAATAATGATAAATAGATAATATAAAAAACTATGGATGATAGAATTTTTATTTTACAGATTTAAAAGAGAGAAAAAAAAAGTGTATAAGCAATCAAGTATGTTACCGTTTGAATTCAATCTGATGTTTGGTAACCGTGATTGAAAACTGTTATCGGAAATATCCATGACTGGTAAAAGAAGATTGAAGGTATACATTATTAAATGTGATACAATAAAAATATATATTATAAAATAAAATGGTAGTATAAATGAGTTACCATTTGAAATGTTAGATAACGGAGTTCTAACATTTAGATGTGAAGGAGAAGTTTGGAAATATGATTTTTTTGAAACATTGACACTTGATGTAGATGCGGATAGGTTTTTATTTGGATGCACAACTCCTTTGAATTTGGCTGCAAAAAAAAAATTGTGATAACAAATGGATAAATTTGAAATAATAATGTAACTCCCGAAAATATTCTATGAATATTAATATACAAAAAGACATAATACAAAAAATGAGCATGTGAGAAAATTGAATTTAGATATTTAAATTTAAATTTAATTTAAATACAAAATAAAGAAGAAAAGTGTATAACGAATTAAGTAAATTATCATTTTCATTTATTTTAAAAAGATGTGATGTTGATGTAGTTGTATGGATTCATTCGGTCGAACCTTTTTTTTTATTGTCCAAGTATAATTTTCTTATTCTTCTTTTCTCTGTAGCCTGAACATGATAGATATTCCTATTTGAAGCTGCATAATCAAATATACACACATGAAATAGTTATAATTCAGATTAAAAACATTGATAAAGAAAGTCGTAAAATATATAATGAACGTACCGTTATCACCAGGGTTAGTAACATTTGTAGAAGTTGGAATTTGACTGACTGATGTAGTGTACAAATGCAATTGATTTGTATTATCCAGATAGAAATTATTTAATTTTATCTTCTTATTAGTCTTAAAGGAGTCCATGTTAGTAGTTGCTATCTGAAATGGAACAAAATATATAACTTTATACAATAGTTATTATCATTTGTGAATAGGGCATTTGATTAGTGGGTTTAGATATGTAATTTTATTCATCTGTCCATTGTTTGAATTGCTAATTTTGTTATCTTGGATTTGGCAACAACATCATCAGTTTCGGAAAGACTGATATTCATATCAATACAAAATGAAGCAAATGACCACAAAAGTTTATGTTATGCATGCCGATTAATAATTGACACTCACTTGAATACATCTAACGTTATTACATTATATTAACTATAAATGGACGTTCCTTTTTAAGCTTATTTAATTTTTGTTCACAATAGAACTCTTCAAATGTTCGAATGCAAATACAAAATTAAAATATGAATTTGATTTTTTTTGGTTTGTGGGTATGCAATTATTTTTTTAGTAATTATTCACATCATTAATTTATTTAAACATATTTTATTATAACTTTTTGTTTTTGTCTAAATAAAACTTATATATTATTAGTTTAATAATTTTTTATAAATCTTTTACCCGTGGTTTCCACGGGTTGTAACCTAGTTTAAAATAAAAAAAAATGTTGTCGATTGAACTTACGTATGACATGAAATACTAAAGTACAATGGCTTTATATGTAATGTTTCCGAATTTTGTTGCAGATATAATTTTTTTTGTACTGTATTGTTGGATTACATTTTTCTTTCATTATGTTATTTTACTTTGTAAGTATTGGAAGTAATGTTTATTATGTTATAAAAAGATAAGCATTGTTGGAAAAGATACTATTAGGGAGGATGATTTTGATTAACACAACAATCGAGAATCATGGTTGTACATTTACACAACCAGAACCAAAATTGATAATAAGAAACTTACAGAATTACTGTCGTTAATGTCCTTAATCTAGCATATAACGAAATTTGATTGAAGCATATGAAAATTCAGAAAAAACAAAAAACCAAGAATTGGAAAAAAATAAGAAACTTACAGAACGATTGAAGTAGCCGATTGAAGAATGATTCTTGATTGCTGGAACAATATGCAGTAAAGAATGATTGTTATTCATATGTTTCAATTATATATTGAACATAATAATGAAAATTGATCTTGATATTGATACCAAGGGTAAATACGGAATTTTACAAATGTAGAACAACAAATTGAGTATACAAACATAGCTAAAAAATGCAGAAAATCGAATTTCAATATAGAACAACAAAGATAATTTTGGCCTTTACGATTTAAAAGCCGTATAATATGATCAAATATAAATAAAGGGTAAAAAGGGTATTTTAGCAATATAAAAGTAAGTATCAACAGCAGCAAAGGACATTGAGAAACAGGGCTTACATAAAATAAACATTAAATTAAAAAAATTGCAGGCCGTGGTAGGGGTATATTAGTCCAATTTGCTCTTCTTCATAGTTAAAGAATGCAGAAAATCGAAATTGGAACTACAAAGATAATAGCAATCCATTCAACAGTACAATTAGACTGGTTTTGATTTTTTAATTGGTTTGATTGGTTTTGATATATTTGGTTCTTCTGAACAATTAGACTGGTTTTGATTTTTTAATTGGTGCTAGTGTAGCATTGTTCTTCATAATAGTTGGTTGCTAGAAGAGTTCATAATAACATTGGTTTTGAACATAAAATTATGATTGTTTTAATCCTTTCCAACATCAGAAATCACATAATAGATCTTTTTGAATTGTTTGATTGGTTATAAATATAAAAATCTCCTTAGATGTGAAAACTTATTACTGTATATATTTGTTTGGGTTTTATTTTTTTCTTGTCAGATCACTTTCTTTTAAAAATTCAAAACTTATCTGCTCTCATAATTTGCAACCTGAATTGAGAACTTATATCAGGTTGTATCTTTCTTAGCTCGAGTATTATTTTATTCAATATATTTTCTAAAATTATAGTATGTGTTTGACACACAATATCATATATGAGCATTGTTATTCCTTTCGCTTATGGGCATAACAATTAAAAAAATTGCAGGCCGTGGTAGGGGTATATTAGTCCAATTTGCTCTTCTTCATAGTTAAAGAATGCAGAAAATCGAAATTGGAAGTACAAAGATAATAGCAATCCATTCAAACAGTACATGTGATCAATGTCTGTGATGATTAACACAGACATACGTAAGACAAGGTTATTTTTACACATACACATACACATTGATGATCAATTTAGTGGATCGAATAAAGAATTTAAGATAGAAAATAATTAATAAACAACTTCTGAATCAAAGATAAATAGAAACTTTGATTAACAAATTCAATGAGAAGCAAAATTGAAGTCGCAGAAGAAGAAAAGAATTTTCAATTATACGATTAACACAAACATTGAGAAGCAATCATATATAATCATGAGAAACTCACCGAAGGATTGAAGTTGCTGATTGAATATTCGAAATTAAGAAGCAGAATTAAGATGCAGAGACGTCCTAGGGATTGAATTATCTAATTGAACGGAATATGATTGATATAGTATGTTATGCGCATAATAATTGATTGATATGCATACCATTTTTAGATGCTCTTAATCGGGCATGTAACGGAATTGATTTAATGTATACAGCAGCTATTCCATATTCAAATTTCAAATTACAAAATATCGATATTTCGATTATTAATCAAATCAAATCAAAGATTGTAATAGTACGTGAAACCAATCAGGGGTAAAAATGAGATTTAACATTGACAGGAACGTGAATTTTTGGTAGGACAGTAGTCAAAAATTCAAACAATCGTTTTATTTATTAATTTATTTATGCTTCCAAAGGACAATGTTAAGGCATACCAATAATGATAACTTTGATCTGTATATGATTCCTTTGTTTGAAAGAAAACTTCAATTTAGTAATATACCAAATGTATCCTTATTAGAAAGAGGCCGTTAAGTTGTATTTGTAAAATTTAGTAAAAATAGGTAAAAATGTTAGGAAAATAAGTCAAAATTCTGAAATTGTTAACTGTATATTAAAAAAATATGGATGTAAAATTTTGCAATAGTAATGGATTTAAACAATGATAAAACATAACCTAAACAGGAAAATCAGAAAAATAGGAACCAAGTAAGATGCTAAATTTGACAGAAAACAAAAGTTAAATGCTATAAACAGCCATAAAACAGAAAGTGCAAAGTGTGATTCAAAATTTATATAGCTATTTTATAGAAATTTGACAGAAAATGAAATGCTAACTGTTTTGTTATAATTACTTGTTTGAAAGAAGCATGTTATAACAGGTAAATAACTGAAAACCAAAATTCTATATTATGGTAGACAAAGGGTGTTAATGGAATTGTAAGTAAAGTTTACTCGTTAATGCTTGCTGCCATAATTACTTGTTTGAAAGAAGCATGTTATAACAGGTAAATAAGTGAAAACTAAAATAACGAAAATTGATCTTGATCTTGATACCAAGGGTAAATACGGAATTTTACAAATGTATAACAACAAATTGAGTATACAAACATAGCCAAAAAATGCAGAAAATCGAAATTGAATATAGAACAACAAAGATAAATTTGGCCTTTACGATTAAAAAGCCGTATAATATGATCAAATATAAAAATAAAGTATCTGCCAGTTATAATAACATACCAAATACCAAAAGAGCAACATACGAATTCAATTCATATTACAAGCCAATTGCAATTTGACTTTCAAAAAAACAAAACCAGCTCTTCTTTCTTCAAAGGAATACTCAATAACCTCTTCAGGAACAATCTCCTTTATCAAAACAGGGGCAGGTGTAACAGCTGTTTGCATCGCAATAGAACCCGTAGTATATGGGGTGGAGGGTAAAATCGGAATTAAATTTGTTTTTGGAGTTCTATTTGTATTTTCATCCTGTAAACCAAATATTGTAGTTTTAGTAGGGGTAGTAAATGGCGACATATTGTTATTGTTATTTTGAAATGTTTTTTTGTAGGATGTCGTGTTTTTTCTTACTCTGTTGTGACATTAGGGGTAGTTTTGGAAGAAATGGGAGAAAAAGGCTTGCGGAATCCATCGATTTTTTTTGGTAGGACGGGAAGTAGTAGGGGTAGTTTTGGAATTGATATCCGGTTTAGGAGTTACATGAGCTAATGATAATCTTCTGTTGCTTGTAGTATTAATTTATGGAATTTAAATGATTGAAATTTTAGAGCTGATCAAAAGAATTGACAAAGGGCAAAATTGACATCTGATGCATTGTTTATTCTGTTGCGTGTTCAATATTATGAGAAATCTCATTTGACAGCTTGATTACAATCTTTTTTAATACAATACCTCAAATAATATCAAAGCACATTCCCAAGAATGCATGCACCAATATACCATTTTATTGTGAAAATTATGAATATGTCCATGTTTAAAAAATGATCATTATTTTGAACAGGAATTTATTGAATGTATTCAAATTTGAGACATCTTTTTTATAAAGCAAATATACTGATATCTTATAACACGAAATTGAAAAGTAGAATGTTATTGAATGTAATTTTTTTTATTTTTATTGCAAATATATTGGTAAAAAAATCTGAATGTGATAGATGAACCTAGAAACAACACACGTTTTAGAGTTATGTTGGTTGTTACTGGTGGGCATTTAGTTGGTTGTGTATTTGATGGAAACTCCATTGTTGCCCATAAATTATTCCAGAGGTATGTACTTTATTTATGTTATCACTTTAATTTCATCAGAAAAATTATTTATGAGGTTAAAATGAATACATCCTTGCCCAGAACAAAAAAATATGCCTTATTAGTATCTATGATTGTAAATACAAGTAATGTAATTTAGTTGTATGTAATATACTTATTTGAATATGCTTGAAACAAACTAATACTTATCAAGACCACCATCGTTAAATAATTAGTATATTTCTGATAAGACTCTTTAGAAACATATTTATTTGCTTATTTTACACATAAATACACAAACATATATGCCACACATTTATTAAAAAGAAGATTAGTCTAATTACAATGATAACCATAAAATGATAATCGTATTAAAATAAGAATACCAGCGAAAATAAAGAAGAAGTATCAATGTTTGAACAGTGGACACACAAAGAGCAATACTGTGAAAGAGAATCCAAAAAAAAATCCAAATTCAAGAACATTGTTGATTAAAAAAGGACAATATCAATTACTTTTCAAGCTTTGGTATTAATAGACTGTGTTGCCATCAACTTTGAATTCAATCGAGGGACCTTGGTGGATGAATTACATTATCATAATCATCAACATCAATGGTATCTCCAACATTTCGTTTTTTTTTTACTGTTGTTGGGGAATTATACTTGAACGGACTTGTAGCTTCAAATTTGTCAGGCAATGTTGGGGTCAAATTATCACCTGTTTGCGATATCGCATCCTTAAAACAAAATGTTGTAAATAGGTTTAGTAATAAAATATTAACAAAAAGTAATCTTTTTAATAGATTATATAAATTAAATAATGTAAATTTATAATATAACTTTAAGGACTTTGTTTCTTGAGATACTTCATGAGATGCGATTTCTGTATCATCAGCATTTGCAGGACTACCTGCCTGAATTAGAAATTTAAATATTTATATAATTTGTGGGACATAGCTCTAAATCAATAAAGATTTACAATTTATTAGTGAAGATCATTAAAAAAATATGCATCATAAAAAGTAATATTAAAAAAACAAATAAAAATAATATATAAATACCTTGACAGCTAACTTTTTTTCCAAAGCATCGATAACGTTACTATCAACCGTATAGCCAAGTATCCCAAACCGATTGTAGTTATTGATACATTAAACTATTTAACATCTATCTTAAAAGCCATCTTTTTATGCTCCAAACATTTGAGGTCATAAGGATATAATCTTGGATTATCCCCAGCCTGGAATAAATGTGTTATATAATATATTTATGTTTAAAAGCACATTAAAGTAAAGAAAATACAACAAATAACAGCAATTAAGAAAACAAAAATTAAAATTATGTTATACCTGTTTGATTTTATCTATAAGATCACGTGCGCGTTTTTTGACGATTCTATAAGCATCTCTATCGAAGAGAGTTAGAGTGATTGTTCCAGAATCATCTTGCACACGAATAGGTATTTTATACCTATAAAAAAATTCCTAGATAAATAAACATTAAATATGTTTAATGGTTAATAATGTAGTTAAGTTGTTCTGTTGATATTTTCTTAAATGAAAAAAAACCTTGGAACAGAAGAGATCGTCTTATTTTTACAATTATCACCATTGCATTTTAAAACGACACTTGCATCACCACTATCTGCACCACTGAACAAATCTTCTGTTTGAACTTTCTTTCTACAGTTTGTACACCCATCATAATACCAATCAATATCTTGGCGAATACCATAAATGGTCCCGACAATGATATATTGGCCGACCTAAAATAAAATCAAAACGTTCATAAAAAACATTATAATTTTATTATCTGTTAAATAGAAAACAATATGACATCAATACAGATAAAATATTCACATACCTCTTGTGGTTCTATCAAATCGACAACATTTTTAACTTTGTAATTATTCAAAAAGTCATCAGATTCCGAATATGATTTAGAGCTTTCAACAGTCAAAGAAGCTGAAGGGTTTTTAATTTAGGAGTTTGAAAATAAAATTATAAAATTATTGAACAGAAACAACAAAACGATGAATTATTAAAATGTACAGTTACCTATCTGTGAATGTAACAATTTCGGGAAGATTAGCATTTATGAACATCCGTGTTTGTTCAAAATAACTGTTCACAGAAGGTGTTGCTGATGAAACAAAATAAAATAGTAAATAGAATGAGTAATATAAAAGACTAAAATAAGGTTGATTGGTATAAAAATTTACCGTTATAGACATTAATTCTTGCAAATTGCAAAAGGACAATCACACGACCAACTTCTTTATGAGCTTCAAGATAAGAAATTAACTGGTATGCAATATCTCCAAACAACGTAACATTAACCTGCAAACCTCTGCAAAAATAATAATGGTTAAATGAATATATAATACTAAAATTCTACATGCAAGTTGTAAAGTAATGAATGTAATATATAAGATATAAGATATAAGATATAATATAAAAAAAGTTTTGGTTACTCTAAGTTTCTTATTTGTAAAGGCAGCCTATGTAGAGATTTGCTGACATCACGGGAATCAAGCTTTCCTAATGAAACAACTTCACCAATAATATCTACAAAATGATAATACAGAATGTCAAAATGATGTGAATTTAAAGAATTAAATATAATATACAATCAATAAGGAGGGAAATTACCAATTGATTCATTAGATGTAGCTGTTGCAGAGATAATTGTTTCAAAAGAAACAAAAGAAAATCCATATTTTGTTTTGGATTGAAAGTGTAGACACTCGTTAACAGTTGTTCTTCCATGGAAATTTAACTTGGAGGTTACATCACTTATTTTAAAAGTGTATTTGTTAGGAGCGATAGTGGGGGACCGGATGTAAACAGCTTGATCTTCTTTCAATTTGGACTCAAACCTTTGAAAATCTCTTGGATACACACTTGCTCGGATTTTTGTACACTATTCACATAGGGTAAGAATATTATATAATGTTAAAAACGGAATTTTTAATAAATATAAATTGGTCAACATTGAAGATAACATCTTCAATGATTGAGTTTGAATAATATTATTGGAATGATCAAATAAAAAAATGGTTATGAATAATGCTATTAAAATAGTAGATTTTACCATTTCATCCATGAGTATCATCTCAATTGATCTGACAATAGTGGGGTTGCCATCTGAAAACGATTTCCACAGCCGGATGATAGACACTTTTAGTGTGTAATCATCCTTCATATTGTCCAAGTCTCTAATGAAAGTGATCTTTCTTTCTGCCATTGTCACTATAACAGAAAAATACACAAAATAATTACAATTATGTGTATGGAGTACTAATAATATAAGAACAAACTGAATAATACAATATGGTTATATTGAAACATTCATACAAGGAAAAAACAAATTCTGAAAGAAACATGCTAACACAAACTATATACCCCTATACAACATTCATAATTAAAAATAATAATGATAACTTTGATCTGTATATGATTCCTTTGTTTGAAAGAAAACTTCAATTTAGTAATATACCAAATGTATCCTTATTAGAAAGAGGTCGTTAAGTTGGATTTGTAAAATTTAGTAAAAATAGGTAAAAATGTTAGGAAAATAAGTCAAAATTCTGAAATTGTTAACTGTATATTAAAAAAATATGGATGTAAAATTTTGCAATAGTAATGGATTTAAACAATGATAAAACATAACCTAAATAGGAAAATCAGAAAAATAGGAACCAAGTAAGATGCTAAATTTGACAGAAAACAAAAGTTAAATGCTATAAACAGCCATAAAACAGAAAGTGCAAAGTGTGATTCAAAATTTATATAGCTATTTTATAGAAATTGACAGAAAATGAAATGCTAACTGTTTTGTTATAATTACTTGTTGAAAGAAGCATGTTATAACAGGTAACTAACTGAAAACTAAAATTCTATATTATGGTAGACAAAGGGTGTTAATGGAATTGTAAGTACAGTTTACTGTCGTTAATGCTTGCTGCCATAATTACTTGTTTGAAAGAAGCATGTTATAACAGGTAAATAAGTGAAAACTAAAATAACGAAAATTGATCTTGATCTTGATACCAAGGGTAAATACGGAATTTTACAAATGTATAACAACAAATTGAGTATACAAACATCGCCAAAAAAATGCAGAAAAACGAAATTGAATATAGAACAACAAAGATAAATTTGGCCTTTACGATTAAAAAAGCCGTAATATGATCAAATATAAATAAAGGGTAAAAGGGTATTTAGCAATATAAAAGTAAGTATCAACAGCAGCAAAGGACATTGAGAAACAGGGCTTACATAAAATAA